TTTTATTAAAAATGGGTAAACATTGATTGACAGAATATATATTGGTTTTAAATGAAAAAGCCAACTCTTGTAATAAGTTTGCTATCTGTAGAGCTTGTAAAACTCAGATTTCTTATGACTTTGCTTATTCCAATAAAATTGTAAATACAAAAAAATGTGTTAAGCAACATTTGCGATCCTGTGAGAATTTTTTTGCCAAATATGGACAAGAAATCTTAGATAATACAGATAGTGAAACCACAAAAGCTCGTCAGACAAAAAACCTTCAAAAAAGAAATCAGAATAGTGAGTAATTAATTTTGTATGACTTTCTTTTTAAAAAATTATACAAGTATTTTTTAATAATTTATTTAATTTTCAATTAAAAATAATGCCAATAAGATAATAATGAAAACATACAATTAAATAATGGTGACAATTCAATTAATTCTTTAACTGACACATCCTCATCGCCTTTCTCTTCTAATGTAAATATTTCTACCAATTTTGGAACTTTGGACCAATATGTAATTCGTAATTTAAATGGAAATAAACAGCAACAATGGTGGTATCTCTTACTTAAAGCCACAATTTCTAATGGGTGGAGTTTTAGGTGGGTTGAAAACAAGGACTCACTGGAATTATTTTCATTCCTAAACCCGAATTTACAACTTCCAACAAGAAAACAATTAGGTGGCACTATCTTAACAAATGCTAGTACTGATATTATTCAAACAATTGAAAATAAAGCCAAGTCAGATGAAATAGGTGTTTCTCTCGTATTAGATGGCTGGGTAAATGTTGTTAATCAAAACTTGCTTGGTAGTGTATTGGTTACTTCTAAAGGTGAAGTTCTTGTTTGGAGAGCTCAAGATGTTAGTGCTGATTGTAGCAGAAAAGAAGAGGTCCAAGAAAAAATTGAACAATTAACAAAAAGTGTGTAAGATTCTGGTATCAAGGTTACAACAGTTGTAACTGATAGTGCCTCACAATATGCTGCAGCTCAGTAATATTATTTTCAAATTTGGTAAAAAATCAATTGAATGTTATTTTATGATTATTATTAATGATTATTAATTATTTAAAAATTTAGTCGAAGTCTTCAAATATTGCATCCTGAAATAGTATATTTGCCATGTTTTAGTCATCAAGTTAATTTATGTGTTGGTGACATATTTAAAGAAAGTGATAATTTTGATGTTGTTGCTAATAATGCATGCAAAATTGCAACTTATTTCACATCAAAAACTCACATACTTTATTGGAAAGTTAAGAGACAAGCAACAATTACAATATAGGAAATATGTTAATTTAATTAGGCCATGTGAAACACGGTGGAATAGTTATTTCTATTGCTTAACAAGCATATTAAACACCAAAGAAGCATTGAAGGTTTGTAATTTTATTTTTTTTAATGTTATTATTTCATAGATTAATTATTTTCTAAATTTGAAATTTATGCTTAAAGACTTTAGTTGCTAGATATGAACCTGATTATATGGAAACACAGTTTTCAAGATATTCTAGAAATAACAACTTAAGGTTGCCTTTAACTATTTGTGAGCCAATAAATGATAATAACTTTTGGAGAGATCTTCATATTCTGAAAAATTTACTATTGCCTCTATGTGGATGTTTAAATATTTTACAACATGATAAATCTTATTTGTATGAAGTCCTACATTCTTTTAGATATTTTTATCAAGTTTTTAGAGATACAGAAGAAGATGCATATCTTTCTGAAAAAATGTGTGGAAGACTTGAAAAAAGATGGCGAGGCTGGGAGCAGCCATTAATTTTACTTTCTTTTATTTTACACCCATCTTACAGATTTGACAAATTCAATACTACTCTTCCTAATCTTAATTGGGTTGACTTTGGTCAATGGTTGATATATTATTATTGTGCATGGAATCAAAGCCAGCCAGTGAAAATACTTTGTGAGTTTAGTATGTATCAAAATAAACAATACCCATTTAATGAAATCACTTGGAATCAATGACATTAGAAGCTAAAACTACATTACATCTGTTATCCAAGAATAAATAAACATTAAACTATCTTACCTACTTTAAATA